GCTAAAGTGCTAATCCAGCATAATCTCACAGAACCAATTAATATTACATGAACTGTAGACAAATCACCTGAATGGTTATGGTACACACTGATTATCAGTCCAATTCCTAATGAGTCTGAGAACTAAGCTTCACTTCAGTTTGGTGAACCAAAATTCCAGTTAAGCAAATAAAGTAAACTGAAATGGGTTCTTCTACTCAGTTAAATCCTTCTTGGCAATATTCACTATATTTTCCAAGTGCTGCTGCTCAGTAGCTGAGGTAGAAAAATTTCCAGTCCTACTGTGGAATTTCAAGTGATCTTCTGCATGAAAATAATGTATATTTGCTGAGCAATAATTGAGGGCCTTCTCCTTCCAGAGAATGTTCTGAGCACAGCTAATACACTTCAAAATCAGCATAAAAATAAACATAGCTAATCAACTCATAATTATTAAAAGCCTGTAACTAATACTACCACAGCAAACAATAAATTCACTGTTCTGAATACTTCTGGAATCTAGATCTAGAAGAAGGAAGAATCTTCACTTTTATAACAGTTAGTTCTACATTTGATACAGAGCCTCAAAAACCCATTGAGACACTGTTATAAACTGTGGAGTGACATCTCTTCTTAAAAACCATCCCCTTATTTCATGTAGGATGTAATAATTCTCTGAGCTCTCCTGCTGCAATTTGTTATCATTGTTATTTTTTCCCAAGAAAAAATGAATACATATATTGATGCTTATGAAAAAGCACTGTATGGAAGGCAAAGCTAACAGGCATTAGATTTCACACTGCCATGGCATATACTGCATGTTGTTTGGTTTTGCATACCAAAGTGCATGATGGAAAAACTGATTTGTGCCAGAAAAAAAGTGTAATTCTGGAGGGCTCAGCTGATACAAGTAGAGGATGCTAAATTAACATGAAGTATGATAATTTAGGAACTGAAGGAGAAAAAAAAACTAGCAATGAAAACATAAAGAACAAATGATGTGGTATATGCAAACCAATCATTAATAATGACAATTAAACATCCTAGTGATGACAAACTCGAGTTGAATTGGTGAGAAATGAAAAGAAGGACTTTGAAAGGTAGATATGAATATATTACCTGTTTAGATTAATACAGTCTGCCTTTCATGAATATGTGACATCTTTTCTAACTATGGAACCCAAAAGAATCAGATCTCTAGTATTCTTCACTTGCTATTTATCCTTCTCTGATGGAATTTCTAACTTTTTCTCTTATTTTGTCAACAAATGTATTTGCACTGATAATTCTACTGTAGGGATCCCACCATACTTATGAATTTCCAAGCAATTGCCCTTTATTAAAACATCCAACTGCATAGCTCTGTTTTAGTTAAGTCATTAACATAACAGTTTGCCGGACACTGTTAGGTATTTTTTTTATTATTAACACATCTCTTATGATCATAAACATACAGAAGAACAACCATAAACATACAGATGAAAAAACCTCCAACAAATAACAAAAAACAAAATCTCCAAATTTTATTTTTCTGTTTCCTAAAGTTTTGTATTAAATTAGTAAAAAAAGCAAAGTTTAGAAAGTTTATTTACACTTGACAGCATTCATACAAATAGCTAACACTGGCTATGAATGAAGAACTATAGCATATTAGGATAAAAGGTTTCTTTGAAACATAAACAAGTTTTAAAAATATATGATTTTACAAGGTAACTGGATAGAGAAAGTACTTTCAGCATAACTTTGCTTTGTATACACTCCCTGTTTTAAACATGTTTATATCTAATAAATAGCTGGTATTAATAGACAATAATTTTGCATAAAAGCCATAATAGGCATCATAGTAATAGGCCATCATCATAATCTCATCGAAACTGTAATCTTGCATCAAACATCTGTCTCTATGCCTATATTTTTTATTTCCTGAAATAAATTTGCATAAGCTAAATATTCCTCCAAGTATCTTGAATGTTTGTATAATATCTTTTTTATGTTTTCTAGTCACTGATCTCTGCCTATTTAAAATTAAACCATTGTTTATTACTAGATAAACATCTTGATTTCCACTGTTACGATATCATCAAGGTACCAAAGTCAGAGTAAGGAATATAGGATACTTTCTGTCAAATTAGCTTTTAGCTTCTTTCAGGAATCCAAAGTATTTCATTAGTCTATGACTAAATGTTTTTGGGAAATATTCTATATTAGTGATTTACTAGCACTTATCTAAATTAAAATGTAAATAACTGCTTCTTCTGACACAAATGCCCATGGGTCTTTTAACTTAGAAAGGAGATGCCATAAACACTATGTCTAAACCCCACATGATTAATTGTGGGAATACTCTTTTATTTCTAGATCTAAAGCAGAGTAGGAAATAGAAAGGAAGGCTTAAGGCTTCACTAGTATTGTGCAGAAAGTGTAAAGAGTCTCACTGCTCTGGTGACTTGAGGGATAAACTATCTACTTATCCTGAGTAATAAGGAATGTAGGATTTCTGGCTGATAACCTGCACTTTTGGTGAGCAGATGCACTCATCAATAGCACCCTGAAGAACATAATCTTTGTTTTAGTGGAACTTCCATTCACTTCCCATATCTGTGTTTTGCTTTCTAAAGCAATATTCTCAACTTCAACAACTTTAAAAAAGTATGGACTTCAACTCCCAGAATTCCCTGGGCAGCATGCTGGCTGAGGAATTCTGGTTGAAATCCACATACTTTAAAGTTGCTGAGGTGGAGAAATACTAATCTAAAGGCTATCTAATCTCTTTTACAAATGCTTTGCTGACCTAATCATTAGAAAGTAATGACACAGAACAATCTCTTCCACATAAATTAAATCATATTGCTTTACATCCTAGTGATGATATCAATTCAACTCTATTTAAAAACAGATCTGCAAACAACTAGAAGCAAACAAAGTCATAATTAGTAGCCAGCACAGGTTTGTTAAAAAGAGATCATGCCAAAGCAATTTTATCTCATTCTTCGATAAAATGACTAAACTAGTAGACCAGCGAAACACACTGGACGTAGTATACTTAGATTTCAGTAAGGCATTTGACAAAGTAGACCACAACCTATTCCTTGGTAAGCTAGGAAAAGGTGGATCTGTAACTGGCTGACAAACCGTACTCAATGAGCAGTCCTCAATGGCACTACATCCACATGGAGAGAAGTAAGCAGTGGGGTACCACAAGGTTCCGTCTTAGGCCCAGTACTCTTCAATGTCTTCATAAATGACTTAGATGAGGGAATTAAAGGGGAACTCATCAAATTGCAGATGATGCTAAACTGACAGGAGTAGCCAACACCCCAGAAGACAAACTCAGGATCCAAAAAGATCTTGACAAATTTGAACAATGGGCCCTGTCCAACAAAATGAGTTTCAATGTGGAGAAAAGCAAAGTCTTATTTAGGCAGGAAAAACCAAAGATACAAATACAGATTGGGCGAGACCTGCTCAAAAACAGGAACTGTGAGAGGGACTTTGGAGTCCTAGTGGACGATCACTTAACCATGAACAGCAGTGTGTAGCAGCAGCCAAAAAAGCTAATATAATCCTGGGTTGTATAAACAGAGGCATAGAATCAAGATCACGTGAGGTATTAGTACCATTTTATAAAACCCTAGTAAGACCACACCTGGAATACTGCAGCCAATTTTGGTTACCATATTACAAGAAAGATGTTGAGAGTTTGGAAAAAAATCAGAGAAGAGCAGCTAAGATGATCAAAGGCCTGGAGACTAAAACATAACAAGAACCGCTACAGGACTTGGGTTTGGCTAGTCTAAAGTAAAGAAGAAGCAGGGGAGACACGATAGCAGTGTTCTAGTATCTGAGGGGCTGCCACAAGGCAGAGGGGGCCAGGTTGTTCACCAAAGCACCAGAGGGAAGGACAAGAAACAATGGTTGGAAACTGATCAAAGAGAGAAGCAACCTGGAAATAAGGAGAAACTTCCTAACAGTGAGGACAATCAACCAGTGGAACAGCTTACCCCCAGAAATCGTGGGTGCTCCATCATTGGGGATTTTTAAGAAGAGATTAGACATTCACTTGTCTAATATGGTATAGGTTAGGGTTAGGGTATAGGTTCTCCTGCTTGAGTATGGGGCTGGACTAGAAGACCTCCAAGGTCCCTTCCAGCTTCTATTCTATTCTGTTCTGTTCTGTTCTGTTCTATTCTATTCTAAACATGAAAAATACCTTTTAAAATATAGTACCTTAAACATTATTTTAAGATGCATAATTTCTGTCTTGGAGCACTGACATTGGATGGTTTTAATATACTGTATACTGTAAAATAATTTCATTTTTCAATGTACATTTTGGATGGGTTTAATCAGATATTATCAGCAACTGTAATTTCCCATCAACCTGTTTAGGATACCTAGAAAGCAACATCTCTGCAATTTCAAAGTACTTGAAATAGCAAATTCTATTTTGGAATGTCATCTTGATGTTTTGCTAGGTCACTTTTCAGCTATAGGTTTTGCAATTGAAGGAAAAGAGATTCCACCTATCTAAGATAAAAACAAGTTAATGTATCATGAAAACACTGAGGGAGAGCAATTATAATTTAAAAAGAGGCACCTTCTTCTTTATTTTTTGTTAAATTCCATTTACTGCCATCCTGCTTTTTTATTCCTAACATAATCATTTCACAAATCATTATTCCAAACGGCTGGTGACAGTCTTCAGCTACGTATAATATAGTGCAGGCAAAGATACTCTATGCTTTATCATCCTTCCCCCTTAGAGTCCAGTTGAGTAGCATAATAGGAGCCCAGATTATGCTGCGTGTTTTTTTCCCTTAAACCCCTTCTCCAGCCAGAAGCAGGCTGACTATTTAATGCAGTTCCCTCAGTGCAGCCTCTTGTGGAGTTGAAAATGACACAATAAGGACCCAACTGTTCCCAGATCTCCCTCCCTCCCCTTCTTAGTTCCAGCACAGATTTAGCTAGAAAGCTGCTTTTTGCAGACAGAACAGACTGCAGCTGGTCTGCTCTGAATGTAGCAGTACTGGCCTCTTTTTATAACTTCTTTGCTTTGGGGTGGGGGATAACTCTGGTAGAAAAATGGAAGGAAAAAAAATAGAGTGGTGGCTTTTGTAGCTTGTCATCTTGCTTCAGCAGAGACATTTGCAGCAGTAGCAGCGAGTAATTAAGTCAGACTGCACCATTTTCTTCTCACCCTGTAAGAGGATGATGGTGGCAGCAGCAGCGGCAGGGAGCTGTCCACCCCCATCTACCCACGGACCCACCCACTTCCAGCGGATGTACAGAGGTGGGTTTATCTTGGCTTTCCTCTGAGAGGCACAGTCCATCTGGAGGAATCCCAATAGATCTTTTCAATGTGAAGAAACTCTTTTATATTGGATGGATTTTTGTATTCACCTGTCACAGAAATTTCCAGTTGCTTCATGCTTGCTGCAAGGAACTCTTCTTCTGCTACCGTGTATTCTGTGTTCATGCAAGGGGATCACAAGAGATTCTTAATTCAGGATATCATGCTGAGTTATGGATGCTGCAGAGGCTAGAGCACAGCTGTGACCTATCACAGACAGCTTGAGGAGCAGGAGGAGGAGGAGAGGAGGAGGAAAGGGTTGCCCAGTGAATATCTGGCTTCCAGGATTACCTTGGTAGTGTCCTTGTAAGATAAACAAATCTCGTGGATATCTGGGTACCAGAACGGAAACTCCAAGCTGATATCCCCTCTCCAAGATGGCTCATGCTGCTGCTTCTATCAAAAAAGTCCGAGAAGCAGAAATTGATGAAAGGGAGAAGGAGAAAGAAAAGGAGAGGAAAAGGCAGAGGAGAATATCTAGAGAAAATCGGAAGCGCAAGGTATGAGCAAACATTATTTCCCCATTATTTCCCTTTACTGTACTGCATAGTACAGGATACCTTCAGCAAGATAATAACAACATTTTTGTTCTTTCATTCTAGAATATCTGCATGCCTTTGCTTCTCAAAAATGATTCTATGCTTTCAGTAATCTTGCTACACTGACAGCAGCGCAGATGTGTAAATAAAGCTAGTGGCACTAATACATTGTTTTTTCTTTATCCTCAAACCAAACAAGTCTGGTTTGATCACTTTTAAGGCAGGTATTTCTTGGGCCTGACTTAAAATTGTTTACTGTCATGCAGAAAGAGACTTTGTGCTCCATTTAATCAGGTTAGGTTTTGAGGTTTGTGGCACTGTTTCTTCCCTTTCTTAGTCTTTGCTTCAAATGGCATGCATTTTCACATCAAATCCTGTAAACAAACTTAAGTTCTTCTGCTTGCAGTGATGTGCTATTAGATTTTAATACTCTGGTAAACTACTCTTTGTATAGTCCTGTGTTTCTTAACCCAGGCATAGAAAAATGATGTATAGCATATTATTGTTTAAACTAAATTCAACTGAAAATAAAATTTGGCCTTATTCTCACTTACAGGCCAACCATTCTTGGATTATTTCTTTCGAGAAGCATTGTAATTCAACTGATTTTGAATTGTGATTGGCAAAGGAAAATAAGCGACAGTTGATTTGTGTTTTTTTTTAAAAAATAAACACACTCACAAATAGCCAAATACTAACAAGTTGTTCATTTTGCTGATTAATAACAGTTAGCTGTATAACTGTTTCATATATTGAATGAGAAAATAATTATGAGCATATTGAGGAAGTACTTATGACATTATATTGCTTGGAGACATTTCACATTCAGAATATAGGGATGTTTATGGGCCTAGACATTTTAAAAATATATAGTCACAGGTGCCAATCATATAAGTGCTTTTATTTCTGGATTTCACTAGTTGTGAAGTAATGGCAAATTGAATCTCTCCATAGGCTTGTTGAAATAGATATGAGCGTTTAGTCCACAGCACCCTGCTTATTTTGCAGAAAAGTATAATTTCATATGGAAAAGAAATCTTTATATGTGAAACAACCATTAATATATAGGAAATACCTATATTTTAACTCCCCTTTATTAATACCTTACCTTTTGTACAAGTTGTTTGTGCTCTATAACACTTCATAGTAAGCTGCACACACATTCTGTCATGTATAATATGCTTAGGGTCAAATGAATATGTCCAGTCATGCTTCATTTTAATTTACAGATCTTTTCACAAATTACCAGAATTACTGTTCCTGCTGTTTTTGTTTAGTATATGCCTGGACTGTTTCTCATTTTCTTACACTGGCATTGTGAAATGAATGAATTAATGTTAATAATTTTTTCTTAAACCACCAATTTATTATGTTGCTAAATACCTTTGTGATACCTGAAGTGATATGTCTGACTCTTTAAATACTTTGTTTGCTGTGTTAATTGAGTTGCAATAGAATTTTCTTTAGCACAATATAAGTATCATTTTAAGTACAGCCACAGCTTGATGCTCCCAGACAGATTGTGTTCAGTATCCTAATTCTTCAAACAGAATGCTGTAGAAATAATAATCCCTTGGTTGTGATTTTCTTTCAATGAACTATCTACCAACTAAAACATATTTGAGAGGAACCAACTAAATTTCATTTTTAATGTGTGCCATTGTGCCCACAGGGAAAAAATGACAATAAAGGTTATCTGTCTGTCTGTCTGTCTGTCTGTCTATCTATCTATCTATCTATCTATCTATCTATCTATCATAATATATGAATAGACCTCAAAAATGCTTATAGATCAGTGATGGCGAACTTTTTAGAGACCCAGTACCCAAACTGCAACCCCAAACCCACTTATTTATCACTGGGTGCTGGGTGGACATGGCCGTGGTGGTCATGGCAGACTGGGTGGGCAGGGCCAGGGTGATGGGGGCCAGTCCTTCACCATCTCCGGGGCATGGCACGTGTGCCCACAGAGAGGGTTCTGAGTTCCGCCTCTGGTACGTGTGCCATAGGTTTGCCACCACTGTTATAGGTTATGCTCAAGAATTGGATGGCTTGTGGTAATAAGATATTGTACATCTCTGCTTTTCTAAATTGGTTTTAAATGTGATGCTAGGGCTTTTAATTAAAGTGGATATAATTAAATCAGTATCTTCTGACATTTCCTTTTTATACAATGCTCTACAGCTTTGATTAGAACCAGAGACACATTGAACAGGCAACGAATTACTAATATAGTGGCCACAGAAGATGGAAAGATCAGGATGTTCTGATATAAGGATAGGCCAGTGCTGCTCAGAATATTCAAGGAAAATATTACAGTTATATTTGTTTTGTTTTGTTCCATTTCATATTCTGCCATCAGCTTCCCTATGTCTGTATTTTACTGCAGCAATACAGTATTACATAAATAGGTATCTTAGCTGTATAGTGCACTTGCTTTCTAATAAGATGAATGTGGTTTAACTTTATTGTTTTTACCTTGCAGAAGTATATATTAATGAAAGCAAATGCATGATAATTGTCAGAAATGTACATATGCTGTATGTGTGGTTGTAAAAACTGTGGAAAACATGAAGTGTCTTGAAATATTGGTATGAGAAATTGTCATTGTTTGATGGTTTCTTTTTTAACTTTAGAAAAAAGTATAAACTTCCTATATAGATATTTACACACATAAAGGTGAGTTTAAGTCTGATAAACTGTATGTGAGATATCATCATGCACACAGTGGTGGGATTCAAATATGTGAACAACTGGTTCTCTGTGTGGATGCCACTTCCGGAAGTCCACTCTGGGCCTGGGCAACAAAAAATTAGCTACCAGTTCTGCCAAACTGGTGCTTACTGGCTGAATCCCACCACTGCATGCACAGAGAAAACAGTCTGGTGTACCATTTTGTTCAGGCCACCAAAGAGTGAAGCTACATGTTTTCTCTGAGTAATTCATATAAACACTGAGGTTGTAATTCATCCAAAAAGTTCATCTTGGAGGAAGGAGGATGCAGAAAGCTCATATTGAAAGAGGGACATGGAAGAAGAAGCGATCTCAAATCTTAAAATTTATGGAGCAAATGCATACGTAGATCTGTGTGGTTGAACTGATACAGGTGAATCCTATATGATCCCATTGCATGTCTGATCATTATATTTTTAAACCATGATTTATCTCTTTATACAATAGCAAACCCAACAAATCATGGCTTAATACAAAAATTAAAAGAAACAGTATAAAACAGAGGAGCTGAATAAGAAGGTTAAATGATATATCATATGATTAATGAAATAATATTCACAATGTTAGCAGGTAGATCAATTTCAGCGTTTCAATTTGGAACTCATTGGCCTATTTATAAACTAAGAGATGGGAAGGCTCTGCAGATGAGCTTTGGTCAGCAGGATCAATAGTCATAAATATGCAAATATTCAGAAATGTGGTTTCTGAAAACTTTCGAAGGCTGCAGGGTTCCTACTGCTGGCATAATGGAATATGTTGTGTCCTGGGCCTGATGAGGCAACTCAGCAGGCCCAGAAATGTTGCAAATGGTCCCGGGCAACCTAAAAGCTACCTGGGACCAGACTGGCTGGCGCCGGACTTCTGCGCATGCACAAGGTGCGAAGAAAGAGGGTTCCCTATTGGATGGACTGCCTGGGGGTTGGGAAACTATAAAAGGCCTGCGTGCCTGTTTGTAGAGTTGAGTGAAGTTAAGGAGTAAATAAAGAAGTTTGATTACAACATGTGTCGTGCTTCAATGCCTCAAACCCCGAAACACAAAAGTGGTGATGAGGATGGGATCGCTGCAAGGAAAAAGGCAATAAGAAGAGGATTAGCCTCATCTGAATTGCCTGAAGCCTGGGAATCGGCGTCCAGCTCTGCACTAACCTGCCAGTACAGTATCGCTGGAGGTGAGCTTGGCAAATCGGCCCTTCTCCTCAACGAAGGCTTGCAGCTTGCAGCTTCGATATCTTCGAAGCAGAAGATATCGAAGATTGGATGTCTGTCAGAGTCTAATGTCTCTCACCCAGAGCGCTGGAACTCCTACGTGGCCCGGGTAGAAAATTACCAAAAGGGTTAACCAGGTTCGGGAAGACGGCCTGAAAACGGCAATCCTGCTGTGCGTCTGCGGTCAGGACACTTTGGATGTGGCCGAAAACCTGGTAGCCCCTGCACCACTGGAGTCTGTCACCTACACAGACTTAAAAAACATGCTGAAGGATCACTTCCATCCCAAGCTTTCTGTGATTGCATGGAGGCATGCTTTTGAGCAGAGGAACCAGAAGCTGGGTGAGTCTGCTGCTGAGTTCATCGCTGCCTTGAGACAAGCTGCCAGGCCATGTGAATTCAAGGACCTGGAAGAACGCTTACGAGACCGCTTCGTCTGCGGCCTTAGAAGGAGGGAGCTGCAATAAAAAATCTTTGCTAAAGCTGAAGTCACCTTCCAAGATGTCTTATGCAAAGTTGCAGTTGAATAAGCAGCAGGCGGTGCTGTGAAGGCCTTTCAGCTCACCAGAAATGCTCCAGCCATCGCAACCATCCATCAAGAGGTCGCTCAGGAAGTTGAAGACCCGGATCCTGAAGAGGAGGTGGACAGACTTCGCCAGCCGGCGATAAGAAGACCGCAAGAGAAACCAGACAAGGCCCCAGCAACCCTTCAGTGTCTCGGTTGCGGAGGACGCCACAAGCGCACGGACTGCCGGTTCCGCTCCGCCATTTGCCGGGCATGTGGTAAGCAAGGCCACATTGCCACCGTTTGTTTGGATCGCCAGCAGGTGCAACCTCGGGAAGAATTCCTTCAGAAAAGTACCAGGGTCCCCAGCTAACACAGAGTGGGTTTCTGTGCATCGCATAGAAGCATCTTGCAAACAGGGACACACAAGCTCCTTAAAAAGAAACTTTGCATTGATGTACAGTTACAAGGGGTTCCCTTATCGATGGAGCTGGACACCGGGTCCACTCTATTGATC